GGCAGGGATTGTTGTTGAACTTTGAGAGCTTGTTCATATGACAAAAGTGCTCTGGAATAATCACCCATGTCCGAATACACATTACCGATGTTGTTGTAGGATTTGGCCACATCAGGATGATTGGATGGACGTGATTGTTGTCTAATACTGAGAGCTCGTTCATATGACGAAAGTGCTCTGGAATAATCACCCATGTTTCTATACACATTACCGATGTTGTTGTAGGATGATGCCACATCAGGATGATTGGATGGAAGTGATTGTTGTTGAATTTCAAGAGATTTGTGATAAAGTATTATAGCCTCTTCATGTTGTCCTTGCTTATATTTAATTGTACCAAGTTGATTGTAAGTATCTGCTTGAAGGCAGCCAGCAAATTTTTCATTTACTGTAACTCTATAGATTTGTTCAGCAATATCTAACTGTCCTATGTTACTGAACACCAGACCCAATCGCTTCCATCCTTCGGCATCTGGAAAACTCTCTTTTCGAATTTGCTCAGTTAGCACACGCAACTCTTCATCATTGTCACTTGTCAGCAACAGCTCCACCTCATACACTTCCTCATTTTCTTGCATTGGCTTTACATCATTGATGCGAAAGATGCTGTGCATCGAAAACAAAACTTCTTCCTCTTGTTCAAACTGACTGATATCCCGAACGGAAGCTAACACTGTCGTTGATTCCTTTGGATTAATTGTCATGACAAACAGGACGCTTACAACATCTCCGCTCTTTTCACTCCCTAGAGTGAAGATGAGAGAGACGTCGCGATTTGTACTGGTTGACAGGAAGTTGTTGAATGACATCAATCCACCCTTCGATGCCACCAGCTCATCAAAAGCTTTCTTTGACAAACTTTGACCGCGATAAACTGTGAACGTTTCGACACTGGTTTTGCCTCTGAACTGTTGTTTGTGCAGTTGTTCGATTTGTCGATGAAGATCACTAATGAAAAAGCCCATCAAAGTCATCACTTTACCATCCATCACTCGCAGTGCATGATTCAACATACCATACAGAAATCTCTCTGTTGTGTACCACCAAATGGGTGTGTGCTTGTCATATTCATCTTCCAGTTGCCTCACTCTCTTTCGATCAACGTCATTGTCAACAAACTTGTCACAATAGAAATCCACATATTCTTTGATGTGTTTATGTTCGAATCTAATGGTCAACAATATTTCTTTGATGATTTGTGTGTACATGAATGATGGATCAAGTTGATCTGGTCTTTTGCCAGGTTGTACGAAACTCATGGGAATGTCATTGAGCTCATGCCGACGAATGATTTGTTTCAGCTGCTCACAAATAGTCATAATGTCTATGGAGACACATTTCACCTTTAACCATTTTTTTGCCAATTGTTCATGTCGATTTTGATTGTCACAGAAGATGAAGATGGAATCAATGTTTGGAATGTCATGTATACATGGTAAGATAAGTTGTCCAATTGATCCTGACGTGATGAGACACACTTTTGAGTGGATGTTGTTGAGAATAAAATCGATGCATTGATCATTGTCAGTAAATATGGGAATATCAGTAACAATATGTTGAAGTTGTGTGATTGCATTCTGATAGTCTTGATTGCTGCTGTGAACGTAATAATCGAGCCAGACTACAAGAAAATCTTGCATTTCCTCAATGCTTAGACGATCGTATTGACTTTGTTTTTCAGAGGGAACTTTTGTTTGGTCAAGCATATTTGTGTTGTTTTGGTTTTTATTCTCCATCGAAGTGAGATTTGGTTGTTTCCAACATAGATATCAGACTATGTTGTAAAAGGTATTTTGCCAGATAACGACCAAAATAGTTTATCTTTTCGAGTCTTTGACGCCAAAATACTTTTTTCTTTCTATGCAAACATTCTTATCATTAGAACATTTATAGCAAAAATGTGCCTCTCGAGAGATTCAACAAGTTTCAAAATGATTTGAAATAGTTTTGATATACGCACAACTTGAAGATGAACACTCAAACAAAAAGAATTAGTCGTTAGTGAATCTTCATCGGATCAATTCTTGACTGCTTCTTAAAATTCAGTTTCAGTGGAAGAACTCACATTCGATATATGAGTTTCTTCGATCCTCATCACGTAATACTGAGATATTTTCATAGTGTCACTTGTTGCCAACGACGAAAGCTTTGCTGAAAATGCTCTTCTCGACAATAAAAATGGAACGGACTTGCCTAGAAATGTCTGAAGTGGTAATCGTTTCAGAAGCATTCGTACGTATTCTGTAATTTACAAGGAAATATTTAGTAAGCAGTTCTTCTGTACCATGAATCTAGACTCAAAAAAATCTTCAATTGGAAGAATATGGATGTGAACAAAATATCCAACCAGATTTCATTCTCATTCTTGTACGATACCTAGCGATAATAGTGTTATTGATAGTATTGAATTTCTCTCTAAATTTGGTTAATGTGTTCTATTGAAAAGTTTAACTTTCATATCATTATTTTTATTATTGAATAAAGATCGTTCAGTTGAGAAAACTACCAATTCAAATAGCTAGAACATTGCCAATATCCGCCATTTGTTGGTTGAATCATGATCCTTTCTTGCTTACCATACAACAATGCACCGTTTTCCATCATTCTATCCCATCTCGTTCTCTTTCATTTTTCATTCGGGGAAGGGAGTATATGGTACAATGTAATGTGAAAATATACCTTTGAGAATAAGATTCTACCAACGGTCTGTTGTTCGTAGAAAGAACGCGCTTGAGAGAATATGCACATCTAGTTGAAAATAATAACTAAACAATCGTGTTCTGTATCAATAGTTCATTCTGGTACCTTTGAGACATTTCATAATAATCAACCGCATTCTTGGTAACTGTGATCATTTCTTGCATTGCTGGTCGCCGATCGTCTTTCTCCGTACCTTCACATCAACGCCCTCAATACGATGTGGACAATCCAGTAAAACTCACCCTCACTGAATCTTGACCATCAGTAGAAACAAATATAGAAAAGGGATCCCTCGGTACATTCGTACATCTATAAGTCGCAAAGCTGTTCTGTTTAAAACTTATTCGAAAGCGATTCAAACTTGTCGGAAGATCACCGATAAATAGTCAGACTCACATAGAAATAGAGAGTAAGAGCAAAGCATAAAATTTGTACTACGATGGAGATAATCTGATGATGGCGACATCTACAATTTTTTCATTCTCTCAATGTTTACTTGCGCACGAACAATTTCCATTATTTACCAAATCATTCTGTTTTCTCTGAAAGTGTTAACGTATAACATTACAAGAGATTTATTCTAGTAAATGGAGTATGGCATCGACTAATTCAATCAATAGATGGAGTGTACGAATTTCTCCGCTTCCTACATCTATAAACTACAGTAAATTAGCCCGAGAACTTCGTCTACCAACGTCTCGTGTTTTTATTCCAAAACCTGTGAAGAATAATACATCATGCGCATGGATCAATGATTTCAATACTGAACAAGATGCAGATGAATTCGTCCGTCAATGGTCCGGAGCTATAATTTTGGGACAACAAATCAGATGCGTTGCATTACCATCGAAACGGAACGATACCAATTCTTCATATACGCCTGCACAAACGCACGATTTACATTCATTGAGAAAGCCTAGGTTACGGCAAGAGAAGTCTAGCGTACCATTACCGAAATCAAGTCAAACTGAATACTGCATTGGAGATAGATCAACAACAAGAAATTTGATAGAACAGTCAGACGTGCACATAGCAGACGAAGAAGACGACGATCTTTCATCGGGTGATGCAAGTAGTTTAATCAGTGATTCATGTTCATCAATAACTTCTGTGCACTCAACTCTATCGACAAATATGAAATCGCAACTATGCCAGTATGGTGTGAAATGTTTTAACGTGGATTGTACTTATAATCATCCGGATGGTTGGAATCCTTGTATGGATGGAGAAAAATGTAACAATTATGACTGCACAGCTACTCATCCCCCTCAACGAAGTGGGCAATGCTTCAGTGGTAGTCGTTGTCTGAGAAGAAATTGCAAATATCTACATCCAAAAACACGTCCTGTGGAATGTCATTTGCGTACAAAATGTAACAAATGGGATTGCACAAAGTTACATCCATGTACTCGAACTCGATTGTGTCCGAAGCAATCGAAATGTACTGACCTGTCTTGTTCATGTTTGCATCCACCAGAACGCAATGCAGCACTTTGTGTGCTCGGTGCTGATTGTCGAGATATATCCTGTACACTAAACCATCCATCGGAACGTCCAACACGATGCGATCAACCTGATACATGCTGCGATGTTAACTGTATTCGTCTGCATTATTCGCAATGGGATCCAAATGAGATAGCCGAAAGTCAACAGATCAGGAAAAATCAATCAAAAAATCTTGAACAGCGAATCAAAGAACGTTTAGTAGCTCATTTACCAATTCTTTCTGCTCGAGAAGAATTTTGTCGACGTCTTCAACACGAACGTATTTTGATCGTTACTGCTGAGACGGGCAGTGGAAAAAGTACGCAACTACCTCAATATGCAGCAGAATATTTCGGTTCACTTGTCGTCTGTACTCAACCTCGTGTTGTTGCTGCACTCTCACTGGCTCGTCGTGTTGCTGAAGAATACGATGGTAAATCGGTCGGTGAATCCGTCGGATATCAAGCGGGTAATGCCGGTCGAGTGCAAGGCAAGGATATTATGTACATGACTGATGCTGCACTTATTCGAGAAAGTCAACATGACCCACGTTTGCAACATGTTCGCGTACTGATTATCGATGAAGCTCATACTCGATCATTAAATACTGATATCGTCCTTGGCCTTGCGAAAAGTTTGTTGGTACAACGTCCTGATGATTTCTATGTCGTTATTGCTTCGGCGACCATTGATCCAGCCCGTTTTCTCGAATTTTTCGAATGTTCGACAAGTCAACCTCTCGAAGTAAGTGGCCGAGTTTATCCTGTAACGAAAATTGAGAAACCAGCACCACCGAAATACGTCGATCAAAATTTCATTTCGTCACATGTTATTCCGTCAGTTATTGAACTCTATCCGCATCATCAAGGACATACACTCGTCTTTCTTCCTGGTCAAGGTGAAATTGAACTTGCGTTAAAATTATTCAAATCGGATTTACCCAACGACTGTGTGGCACTTCCACTGTACGGTTCACAATCACCCGAAGATCAAGATAAGGTTATAAAATTCAATGAACAAGACAAACGTATGGTTGTTTTCTGTACGAATGTTGCAGAAACATCACTAACCATTCCAAACGTTCGATTAGTTATCGATTCTGGTTTAGCGAAAGAAGCTCGTTATGATGTCAAGCGTCGTCTAACTGTTCTCGAAACCGTCCGTATTTCGCGTTCATCTGCTGATCAACGTCAAGGTCGTGCTGGTCGAACGGCACCTGGTCACTGTGTTCGTTTGTATGAGGATAAAGAATTGATACGGCCACATATTGAACCGGAAATTCTCCGGTCATCGCTCGATCTTGTCTTGTTACAGCTCATTCGACTGAATTTCGATCCAAGAACGTTCTCATTCATGGATCAACCCCAGAATGAAATGATTAATTATTCGCTTGATCTTTTAACTAGACTTAATTGCATAGAAGAACAAAGAATTACTAAACGAGGCGAGTTGTTCACCGAACTGGCACTTGACCCACGCTTCGGTGCATTTATCGTAGATATCTATAGTGAGTACAAAAATCTATTGGACCAAGCGGCTGCTACTGTAGCCATTCTTTCGGCACCTGGAGCCATTTTTTTCATGGGCGGTAGTACACAGGAGGCGAAACAAGAAGCAAAAGAACGTGTTGCTCTCGAAGCACGTCATTATAAAAGTGACCTTTTACATTTATATTCTGTCTACGACCGATGGAAAAATGCTGCTGGACAAAACATACAAGGCAGATGTTCGAACTGCAATAAATTCATTAAATATTGTACATGTCGAGTGAGACACAGCAATGAAAATAGTTTAAATAATAAAATTCTTCAACATGTTGATGGCGCATGTATGGCCATAATTCAACAAATAAAAAATACTCGTTGGCTTCAACCCGGTGTAAAACTTTCCGATGATCCTATTCGAATCATTGGATATCATCTTGCAAACCTCTTTCCCGAACAATGCGGATATCTACTTGTTCCGAAATTACCCATCGAAGGCGTTCGTCTCGTATCAACTGATATTCGAGCAACCATCAGTAACACTAGTGTCTTCATGCAAAAACTACAGAAAGATTCCGACCGTGAACTTTATCAACATTTTATTGCGATGAACATAACACAGTTACCATCGGGAAGATATATCATCGAAAGACTACATCCGATCTTGAAGTCTGATGTCCCAGTACAATCATCGATAGAAAATTTAGTAACATTAGAAAATGTTGGATCGGAACTGGCGAAACAATTACGCTTCAAATTGACCGCATTTAAGTTTGAACCTTGGGCGAAGTGGCTTGTTTACCATTACGATCGAACTCAGTTTCGTTTTCTTATTTGGGGCTTAGAAGCAGATAAATCAACAATCGTATCTATGGTTCAACGTTCCTATGATGAAGCTTTGAAAAAACTTTATGATGCGTATGAACTCTTAGATTGTGGCCCAATTAAAGCAAATTTTCAGAGCGGTTTGGTATGTACGCATATTAATCGCATGCCGGATGCTTTGAAACTTCATTTGCAAAATGTTCCTGTTCAGCAAGTAGGCTCTTTGAAAGATTGGATTAAAAAAATGACTGATATCGAATGGGATGAAATAAAAGCACATGGTTTTTACACTTCAAAAGTCGATCCAGAGAAGAAAAATGTTTTTCTTGTCTTCAAAAATGAAAATGCATTTCAACGAGCATCGATCAAAATTCCAGTACAGTACATGATTACTCAGATAAATGGTGTCGAACGAAATCGCAATGGGGAAAAGGAAACCTGGGCTCGAGAATTGGTAGTTCAAACTCCGACGAATATTACCGTTGACGACATTATCGAAGTATACGGCAAAGGTAATATCATGGCGTGCATTCAAGAAAATAAAGAGTCACACGCTGAATCGTATATCAAATTGGATACTTTGCCGCCTAATATTAATGAAGAATTACTTCGTAACTGTCTTCATGAATGTGGTGGACCTGTTCCCAAATCTGTGTATGTTGGACGGACAAAAAATAACGCCAGTGGATGGGCCAAAGTAATATTTCGGAATGACCAAGAACGTAATGAAGCAGCAAACATTTATAACGCACAGTTATGTCGCGATATATTTCTAATAAGTTTTATCGGCAAGAATGGTCTGATGAAACAAAAATCTGTTCGAACGACCGTGACGAAAAATGATGATCCTTTTGCAAGGCATAACCGGATGTGTATCGCTCCTACAAACGTTTTTCGTCTTACGACGGTGAATCGTGAAGCTGCTCGCTCAATATATTCTTCCCATTTGCATTCATTCTATTGGAAGATGGATAGTTCAGCAACAGTAACTGTCCTTCGAACGGATTTATATCGAAATTTTGATAACACAATAGACAACATCTGCAAGAAATTTTGCGTCCAAGTAAAACGTAAGAATATTGCAAATTTTGGTCAACGATGCACATTCAACAATGGTGATCCGCAGAAAACCAGCTTAGCTGCATCCACGCTTGCGCAAACGTTCGCACCGATCAATATCAAATTGAATACTGAACGACAGAAACAATTATTCCATGAATTGGAAGATATTGGCGAAATACAAAAATGGGCGCTAGAATTATGTTTATGTATTAATCCGAATAGATATTTTACAAATATTGAAATTCATGGCACACAAACTGCTCAAGGCAAATTAATGCGTCGCATTGCCGATTATTCTGAAAGCTTCGATAAACGTTTTCGTGAACTGGAATTAAGTGCAAGTGTAGCAACATTCTTTGGGCCGCAGAAATCTGCATCAACTCGATTACAACAGATTGCATCTGAATGGTTGTCGAAGTCTTGTTTAATTTCATTTAATTCGAAATCAGCAACAATTACAATCATCGGCAAACCAAACATAACACCGATAGAGATGAAAGCTTGCGAAGATGAAGTACTTCAACTTCTGAACGAAATTACTGCCACGACGGATAGTACAGAAAGTGATGACGACGAAGATGAAGACGACGACAATGATGTGATACGTTTCGAGATAGGAAGACAAGAACGTCGATGTGTTTTCTGCCAACAGAAATCATCAATTTCCACGGATGTTTTTCGAATATGTGGGCATACATTTTGTCGTTGCACAGCTCGAGCGCTCGCTACATCTTGTGCATTTCCACTTCAATGTAAAGCTTGCCAGTCCAACATTCATATTCGCGATATCCAAACTATCTTTAGTAACAATGAAAAATTATTCATGACTTTACTTAAAAATTCCATTCAGTTTTATTTAACAATGAATACTCAAAATGATAATCGCGTCTTTTGTCCGAATAGTGACTGCGATGGATTGATAAAACTTGATAATGGCTATCACATGTGTTTAACTTGTGGTCAAAATGTTTGTCCTCGCTGTCAAGTTATTGATGACGAATTGCACATTGATCGAACATGTGACCAAGTCGTCGAGGAAAAGAAGCATCATCCATTCCTATCGGAATTATTTTCCGCTGCGAGAAAATTTGTTAAAAACAATTGGCCATTCGACTCAATTGTACAACCGATGGGCACTGTATTCGAAAATCCTTATTTAAGAAAAGAATATCAATCATTAATACGTTTCTACAAAGCTAATCAAGTATTAGGTCATTCAGTTCGACCAGATATGGCCAAAGGATTCTTCGCGTATCATGGTTCGACGACTGAAGCTATTGTTCCTATATGTCAGAATGGTTTCGATCCAAACCGGCGCATAAATCAAGTTCATGGACCAGGTGAATATTTTGGTGTATCTGCACTTATTTCCGATGCATATACTAAGAAGGGAATTAATTACAATGGATATAGTCAAATGATCATTGCCTTTATTCTTCGATGCACTCAGGTTACNCTCGTTATGATGTCAAGCGTCGTCTAACTGTTCTCGAAACCGTCCGTATTTCGCGTTCATCTGCTGATCAACGTCAAGGTCGTGCTGGTCGAACGGCACCTGGTCACTGTGTTCGTTTGTACGAGGATAAAGAATTAATACGACCACATATTGAACCGGAAATTCTCCGATCATCGCTCGATCTTGTCTTGTTACAGCTCATTCGACTGAATTTCAATCCAAGAACTTTCTCATTCATGGATCAACCCCAGGATGAAATGATTAATTATTCGCTTGATCTTCTAACTAGACTCAATTGTATCGAAGAACAAAGAATTACTAAACGAGGCGAGTTGTTCACCGAACTGGCACTTGACCCACGTTTCAGTGCATTTATCGTAGATATCTACAGTGAGTACAAAAATCTATTGAACCAAGCGGCTGCTACTATAGCCATTCTTTCGGCACCTGGAGCCATTTTTTTCATGGGTGGTAGTACACAGGAGGCGAAACAAGAAGCAAAAGAACGTGTTGCTCTCGAAGCACGTAATTATAAAAGTGACCTTTTACATTTATATTCTGTTTACGATCGATGGAAAAACGCTGCTGGACAAAACATACAGGGCAGATGTTCGAACTGCAATAAATTCATTAAATATTGTACATGTCGAGTGAGGCACAGCAATGAAAATAGTTTAAATAATAAAATTCTTCAACATGTTGATGGCGCTTGTATGGCCATAATTCAACAAATAAAAGATACTCGTTGGCTTCAACCCGGTGTAAAACTTTCCGATGATCCCATTCGAATTATTGGATATCATCTTGCAAGCCTCTTTCCCGAACAATGCGGTTATCTACTTGTTCCGAAATTACCCATCGAAGGCGTTCGTCTCCTATCAACTGATATTCGAGCAACCATCAGTAACACTAGTGTCTTCATGCAAAAACTACAGAAAGATTCCGACCGTGAACTGTATCAACATTTTATTGCGATGAACATAACACAGTTACCATCGGGAAGGTATATCATCGAAAGGCTACATCCGATCTTGAAGTCTGATGTCCCAGTACAATCATCGATAGAAAATTTGGTAACATTGGAAAATGTTGGATCGGAACTAGCGAAACAATTACGCTTCAAATTGACCGCATTTAAGTTTGAACCTTGGGCGAAGTGGCTTGTTTACCATTACAATCAAACTCACTTTCGTTTTCTTATTTGGGGCTTAGAAGCAGATAAATCGACAATCGTATCTATGGTTCAACGTTCCTATGATGAAGCTTTGAAAAAACTTTATGATGCGTATGAACTCTTAGATTGTGGCCCGATTAAAGCAAATTTTCAGAGCGGTTTGGTATGTACGCATATTAATCACATGCCGGATGCTTTGAAACTTCATTTGCAAAATGTTCCTGTTCAGCAAGTAGGCTCTTTGAAAGATTGGATTAAGAAAATGACTGACATCGAATGGGATGAAATAAAAGCACATGGTTTTTACACTTCAAAAGTCGATCCAGAGAAGAAAAATGTCTTTCTTGTCTTCAAAAATGAAAACACATTTCAACGAGCATCGATCAAAATTCCAGTACAGTACATGATTACTCAGAGAAATGGTGTCGAACGAAATCGCAATGGGGAAAAGGAAACCTGGGCTCGAGAATTGGTAGTTCAAACTCCGACGAATATTACCGTTAACGACATTATCGAAGTATACGGTGAAGGTAATATCATGGCGTGCATTCAAGAAAATAAAGAATCACACGCTGAATCGTATGTCAAATTGGATACTTTGCCGCCTAATATTAATGAAGAATTACTTCGTAACTGTCTTCATAAATGTGGTGGACCTATTCCCAAATCTGTGTATGTTGGACGGACAAAAAATAACGCCAGTGGATGGGCGAAAGTAATATTTCGGAATGATCAGGAACGTAATGAAGCAGCAAACATTTATAACGTACAGTTATGTCGCGATATATTTCTAATAAGTTTTATCGGCAAAAATGGTCTGATGAAACAAAAATCTGTTCGAACGACCGTGACGAAAAACGATGATCCTTTTGCAAGGCATAACCGGATGTGTACCGCTCCTACAAACGTTTTTCGTATTACGACGGTGAATCGTGAAGCTGCTCGCTCAATATATTCTTCCTATTCGCATACATTCTGTTGGAAGATGGATAGTTCAGCAACAGTAACTATTCTTCGAACGGATTTATATCCAAATTTTGATAACACAATAGACAACATCTGCAAGAAATTTTGCGTCCAAGTAAAACGTAAGAATATTGCAAATTTTGGTCAACGATGCACATTTAACAATGGTGATCCGCAGAAAACCAGCTTAGCTGCATCCATGCTTGCGCAAACGTTCACACCGATCAATATCAAATTGAATACTGAACGACAGAAACAATTATTCCATGAATTGGAAGATATTGGTGAAATACAAAAATGGGCGCTGGAATTATGTTTATGTATTAATCCGAATAGATATTTTACAAATATTGAAATTCATGGCACACAAACTGCTCAAGGCAAATTAATGCGTCGCATTGCCGATTATTCTGAAAGCTTCGATAAACGTTTTCGTGAACTGGAATTAAGTGCAAGTGTAGCAACATTCTTTGGGCCGCAGAAATCTGCATCAACTCGATTACAACAGATTGCATCTGAATGGTTGTCGAAGTCTTGTTTAATTTCATTTAATTCGAAATCAGCAACGATTACAATCATCGGCAAACCAAACATAACACCGATGGAGATGAAAGCCTGCGAAGATGAAGTACTTCAATTTCTGAACGAAATTACTGCCACGACGGATAGTACAGAAAGTGATGACGACGACGACGACGACGACAATGATGTGACACGTTTCGAGACAAGAAGACAAGAACGTCGGTGTGTTTTCTGCCAACAGAAATCATCAATTTCCACGGATGTTTTTCGAATATGTGGACATACATTTTGTCGTTGCACAGCTCGAGCGCTCGCTACATCTTGTGCATTTCCACTCCAATGTAAAGCTTGTCAGTCCAACATTCATATTCGCGATATTCAAACTATCTTTAGTAACAATGAAAAATTAATCATGACTTTACTTAAAAATTCCATTCAGTCTTATTTAACAATGGATACTCAGAATGATAATCGCGTCTTTTGTCCGAATAGTGACTGCGATGGATTGATAAAACTTGATAATGGCTATCACATGTGTTTAACTTGTGGTCAAAATGTTTGTCCTCGCTGTCAAGTCATTGATGACGAATTGCACATTGATCGAACATGTGACGAAGTCGTCGAGGAAAAGAAACATCATCCATTCCTATCGGAATTATTCTCTGCGGCGAGAAAATTTGTTAAAAACAACTGGCCATTCGACTCCATTGTACAACCAATGGGCACTGTATTTGAAAATCCTTATTTAAGAAAAGAATATCAATCATTAATACGTTTCTACAAAGCTAATCAAGTATTAGGCTATTCAGTTCGACCAGATTTAGCCAAAGGATTCTTCGCGTATCATGGTTCGACGACTGAAGCTATTGTTCCTATATGTCAGAATGGTTTCGATCCAAACCGGCGCATAAATCAAGTTCATGGACCAGGTGAATATTTTGGTGTATCTGCACTTATTTCCGATGCATATACTAAGAAGGGCATTGATTATAATGGATATAGTCAAATGATCATTGCTTTTATTCTTCGATGCACTCAGGTTACAAAAATCGAAAATTTCTGCTATGTTGTCAATAATCCGAAGGATTGGACATACGCATTTAATTTACCTGTGCTTATCGTCACCTATGGAAGAAATCTTTATGGTCAGATATCTCCTTTTCCTAGTGAAATACCGTACTATTCCGAGATAGAATCGCTTTGGATCGCACCTTTTCAATGGTACTGGCAAAAAAGTAATGGGGAGTTTCATCTGTATAATGATATGATGAATGAAATATTCGAAAAGCTTTACGTACACTGGAAGTTGTACGATGAACCTTCCGAATTTGAAACTCCACTGTTAAGTTCGCTCATAGAAGATCTCTCTGCGACTTATAAAATCGATTTGGCAAATAATCGACAGACGAATACAAGAACGTCACATTCACGACTGATTGTACGGCGATTGACACATACATCATCAGATAATCGACATTGGTTCTATTTCGATGATAATACTGGTTGGATATGCTACGAGCAACAAGCAGAAAATCAAATTGAGCAAGCATTTCAATGTTATCGTTCTGGTCAAGGATCCTTCACTGTAGATATTCGCCTTTCTGGTCGATCCGATACACACCAATTTAATTTCTTAAAAGGCCAACAACGAATCAAATCTACTACCATGACAGCGAATATCAAACGTGAATGAAAACTATTTTATTCTACACATAACCTTTTTCTGTAATGAATAACACTAGTCAAAATAATTTAAAAAAAAAACAAAGTAACAGGAAGAACAGCATATGAACGTACTGTTTTTTGTATGTTAAATAAAACTACACATTGCATTGGCTAAAACATCTCAGGTAAATATTAGTCTTCAATCGATAGTAACGGATGCACAGAACATTTTCTTTCCTTCCATGCTACTGGCATTTTATATTCCTTAGTCGTTCTGATTTTTTTCCAAGCTATTATTACATATAGACAGTATAGCATAAAAGTAATAGTGTTCATTTTACTCCATTGACAGCTCTGGCATAGACGTTTCTGTCACTCAATCAGGTAAAACGTTTCTTCACAGGTTATTTCTGAACGCACTTTTCCAAATTACAGCTTTGTAACTACTATGAATAGAACAGAGCTTTGAATCCACAATAAAATCAAAGATTTATTTTTGAAATCGAAAACGTATTTAGAAAAGTTTTCTTGAATAGTACAAAGACTAGAACGATGAAGTTTGACGCTTTCAATTGCAACAGAGAATACATCCTATTCCGCAATGTTGCACATTTTGGAATCAGTTCCGCACACGGAATCACTTCCTACGATTCCGGAATTAACTCGAAGCAATTCCGGAATCGATACACGGCGATGATAGCCAGTCGCACTTAAGCAAGCATGCAATTCCGGAATCGTAGGAATCGATTCCGTGTGCGGAACTGATCCCCAAATGTTCAAGATTGCGGAATAGGATGACTGCTCTTGCAACAATGTCTGCCTCTTTGTAAACAATCACGAAGTCTTGTTAACAAAGAGAGCTTATCTTTATTATAGAACAGAGAAACGCAATGGAAAATATTATCAAGATGTTCGTCAGTGGCAGTTCAGCTGAAGGACAATCATATGCCAATCATTTTCGTCACGATAACCAGCTTCAAGATTTTGACTTCATGCTAGAAGTATGTGCCTTAAACTCCAATGATCAGTTAGTTCTAATTAACAATGCCCCGGGTTTCGTGTTGGTGAAGTGGTCGTCTGAAAATGTGACCAAAGATTTGCCGCATAACAGTCAATTCGTTGATGGTTTTCGCATGAAACAACAATTTGCCGATCACTACATATCCTCTGTAAATGCAAGCCCTCTCCTCGCAAGCCAGTTTAACACAACGACAGGCACAGCCAGTATAGAAGCAACTATTCAAAGTGATCTGATACACCAAGCTACAAAATTTCATAATGCTCTTAAATATGTCGAAACACTTCAATCCGATGAGAACAAGAAGAAAAAATTTATTGAATATCACGAATGGTGCGAAGATAATATCTCAAATATTTTCGATAAATGTTTACCAGAATTACCTATGTACGATTATTTTGGTAAAAATTACGTCTCAGACTGTTTCTGTATGGTGAGCCCAGCTTTTGGATTTCAATTATCAGCTGAGCATCGTAAACGCGCAGAATCGGTGTTAAATTTTTATCTTAAATACCGACATTCCTATTGCATATCGCAGCAGATTTACAAATATCTTCAAAAATCTAGTTGCTTAGACACGCGACCTGTCGATGCGGACCTGGTNCCTTCCGAATTTGAAACTCCACTGTTAAGTTCGCTCATAGAAGATCTCTCTGCGACTTATAAAATCGATTTGGCAAATAATCGACAGACGAATACAAGAACGTCACATTCACGACTGATTGCACGACGATTGACACATACATCATCAGATAATCGACATTGGTTCTATTTCGACAACGATATTGGTTGGATACGGTACGAGCAACAAGCAGAAAATCAAATTGAGCAAGCATTTCAATGTTATCGTTCTGGTCAAGGATCCTTTACTGTAGATATTCGCCTTCCTGGTCGATCCGATACACACCAATTTAATTTCTTAAAAGGCCAACAACGAATCAAATCTACCACCATGACAGCGAATATCAAACGTGAATGAAAACTAGTTTATTCTACACATAACCTTTTTCTGTAATGAATAACACTAGTCAAAATAATTTTAAAAAAAAACAAAGTAAAAGGAAGAACAGCATATGAACGTACTGTTTTTTGTATGTTAAATAAAACTACACATTGCATTGGCTAAAACATCTCAAGTAAATATTAGTCTTCAATCAATAGTAACGGATGCACAGAACATTTTCTTTCCTTTCATGCTACTGGCATTTATATTCCTTAGTCGTTCTGTTTTTTTCCAAGCTATTATTACATATAAACAGTATAGCATAAAAGTAATAGTGTTCATTTTACTCCATTGACAGCTCTGGCATAGACTTTTCTTCACAGGTTATTTCTGAACGCACTTTTCCAAATTACAGCTTTGTAACTACTATGAATAGAACAAAGCTTTGAATCCACGATAAAATCAAAGATTTATTTTCGAAATCGAAAACGTATTTAGAAAAGTTTTCTTGAATAGTACAAAGACTAGAACGATGAAGTTTCACGCTTTCAATTGCAACAATTTCTGCCTCCTTGTAAACAATCACGAAGTCTTGTTAATAAAGAGAGTTTATCTTTATTATAGAACAGACAAACGCAATGGAAAATATTATCAAGATGTTCGTCAGTGGCAGTTCAGCTGAAGGACAATCATATGCCAATCATTTTCGTCACGATAACCAGTTTCAAGATTTTGACTTCATGCTAGAAGTCTGTGCCTTAAACTCCAATGATCAGTTAGTTCTAATTAACAATGCCCCGGGTTTCGTGTTAGTGAAGTGGTCGTCTGAAAATGCGACCGAAAAGTTGCCGCATAACGGTCAATTCGTTGATGGTTTTCGCATGAAACAACTATTTGCCGATCGCTACATATCCTCTGTAAATGCAAGTCCTCTCCTCGCAAGTCAGTTGAACACAACGACAGACACAGCCAGTATAGAAGCAACTATTCAAAGTGATCTGATACACCAAGCTACAAAATTTCATAATGCTCTCAAGTATGTCGAAACACTTCAATCCGATGAGAACAAGATGAAAAAATTTATTGAATATCACGAATGGTGCGAAGATAATATCTCAAATATTTTCGGTAAATGTTTACCAGAATTTCCTATGTACGATTATTTTGGTAAAAATTACGTCTCAGACTGTTTCTGTATGGTGAGCCCAGCTTTTGGATTTCAATTATCAGCTGAGCATCGTAAACGCGCAGAATCGGTGTTAAATTTTTACCTTAAATATCGGCATTCCTATTGCATATCGCAGCAGATTTACAAATATCTTCAAAAATCTAGTTGCTTAGACACGCGACCTGTCGATGCGGACCTGGTNCCTATGTACGATTATTTTGGTAAAAATTACGTCTCAGACTGTTTCTGTATGGTGAGCCCAGCTTTTGGATTTCAATTATCAGCTGAGCATCGTAAACGCGCAGAATCGGTGTTAAATTTTTACCTTAAATATCGGCATTCCTATTGCATATCGCAGCAGATTTACAAATATCTTCAAAAATCTAGTTGCTTAGACACGCGACCTGTCGATGCGGACCTGGTTCCGGCGATAAGACTTGATTTCTGGCCTTCTAACATGAATTGGTTTCTCAATCGACTGAAAACAAATCGGCCGCTACTTTTCGAAAAAATCGAGCCACTTCATATGCACATTATTCCAAAATGGTCTGGTAGAACAGAAAAGTCGAATGAGAATATTGAATTTCGTTATTCATTCTCCGCCATTGAAAAAGAACTAGCCGACCAGCGATCACCTATCGAGCAAGTTTTAAATCGAGTAGCACGCGGTATCTTTTATAAATATCTACATAAAAGTGTATTGAAGCCGCCATGTTCTAACAAAAAGTACTTGACATCCTATTTAGTTAAAACAACAATATTATGGATGTGTGAAACAAAGGATTTTGACAATATTTATGCTATAACCAATAGTTGTACTCCTCGAGTAGAAAAAATGTTGGCTCATCGACTAGCAAATCAATGGATAGAATATGTTTGTTCAGTTTTAAAGTCTCGAATTTGTCCACATTATTTTATTGAGAATTTAAATTTATTGGAAGAATATACCGACGAATATCTGGATAACGCATGTTATGTCCTGCAGAATAATGTGAACTTACGTGATGATCATCTAACTCAAATTTTTCAGACGCCGCCGAAAAATGAAGAATCGAATAAAGAAACCAGTGATTATATGGAACATTTTTTCGCAAACATAGACGCATCTGAATTTTTTTCTGATAGCACAGACCTGTGCAATCAATTTATGCATGGTTTCAAAATGGATTTCAGTATATACGGCGGTGATGGTGACGGCGACGATGATGCTTTAGCTACTATATTTATATCGAGTTACTTGTTATTAAACATGATGGCGATATTCGACAATGTTGAATTAAATAACTGGCAATTATGGAAAGATTTGTTCATCAGCAATCCGTCAGAGCAGTCGCCAATCATATCTCAAAAAATGACAACAAGAAAGAACACACCAGTTTATACTTTAATGAACATGATTTTAGTCTTTAGCTTAGAAGAAGTAGATAAGTATGTTTCAGATGAAAATTTGAGCACTAAACTTAAAAATCTGGCCTCATGCCCAATTTTTCAAACTGGCGATATGATATCAATGAGTTTAACAAGAATGTTGCCTTTAATTTTACAGCAACCGGGAGTTCTTCTTTCTCACAGACGAACTGTTTTGGAAAATCCAACGAATATGGTACCGACGCTTGCCGAACACGTTAAAAAACAAACACCGGCTCATNAGTATGTTTCAGATGAAAATTTGAGCACTAAACTTAAAAATCTGGCCTCATGCCCAATTTTTCAAACTGGCGATATGATATCAATGAGTTTAACAAGAATGTTGCCTTTAATTTTACAGCAACCGGGAGTTCTTCTTTCTCACAGACGAACTGTTTTGGAAAATCCAACGAATATGGTACCGACGCTTGCCGAACACGTTAAAAAACAAACACCGGCTCATTTTCGGAATATCCTCTACTCCGATTGTATACAACCAACGATTCCATCTACAACGGTGCCAGCGACGTTACATTCGAACGAAACGGTTGATGAAAATGTGACTACACAGATGATAGAAGGATTCGTACTAGATGGCGAAGAGTTTAATACATTAATTAATGAGACGATTTCGTTTAATCAAACTCCATATTCATACTTACAGACTCAGCAATATCTATCTAAGATAGATACCTCTCAAGTAAGGACTAACTTTTGCCTATATATCTATATTCTCCGTTTACACGCATCTGAAGTATTCGACTCGGACGACGAATAAGAACATATCCGGATGGGAAAGTCGATTCGATCAAACTTACAAGAGAATATTCTACGTCGATCATCACACTTTAGTCGTCACATGGATTGCACCAACAGTCTACCATCTAGGTGAACGAATTCAGTGGTATGTTCAAACAGCAGTAGAGCATCGTGTTTCATCGCCCAGCAAATATAGAACAAACTTGCCGACTATAATTGATTTGGAATCGAATACTCCCAGTGCAGACGCTCTATTTAAATATGATACTACAGAATGGGAAGGTTTGCATCAGATGCAAGCGCTAGATAATTCCATGGACAGTCTAACGCTGAATGATGCTTGGTATATGTGTTCCGACCAACAAAATCGAACATACTTTATCAATTCAGAAAGCAAGATTCTACAGTTGAATAGTCAGTTGGTGAAGGTAGAATAGACCAAAAATTCATGTCCATTCTGTCTTTTGTTGTTGTTGTTATAGGATGTTCAATCGTTGAGAATCTTGCTAGCAGTTAATACAACTACAGGACAATTGAACCTTGAAATTCAATCTAATAATTTCTTTCAAAGTTCTTACGATCTAATAATGAAGATGGAACCCTTTGAACTACGCAGAAAAATGTTTACAGTGATCTTATCAACTAACAGTATCTCGCTATACTTCAAAACATGTCGAATGAATGTACCTGTATTTCTCTTCGTAGAGGAAATGAGTCAAAAGGAGAAGAATGACTTTTGGTTTGTTCAACTTCATGAAAAAATGCTTGAAATGAAATTACTAGCAAAGCAGGACGCATATTACGATCTCATCGACTCAGAAGTTCCAGATGTTTACTTTCGGCAAGTCATTGAACTAATGAAAACAAAACTGAGCATAATGGGGAATATTTATTAAAGATTTCTCGGGCGTCTTATGGCAATGTCAATCTACTACAGCGTGAGATTTCCGTTAAAGTTTCCGATATTCTACTACAGAATACTATTCAACAAAGAGTTGACATTGAATCTGTTAGAACTGAAATATTTCGATCTTGACAATTTCAACAAAGCAAAACAAAAGACTGATAAACCAGTTGCAGAAATTCTACAAAGATATTTCGCAAAACCAATCAAGCTCCAAATGATGCAAATACGACAAGGACTTAACGAGGTAAGACTGCCTTATGATCGACTTTTGTTACTCTATACTCATAGGTGATACCAATTGAATGGATGGAACATCTGAACACTGAAGATATTGAAAAAATGATTAGTGGTTTCTGTACCGTACATGAAATGGAAAGAGCTCGTCAACAAGAAGAAACTTCATTAGTGCATATGGCCACTGTTGATACTAAATCCGTCGATACAAATATTCCAACCAACGAAGATAATAAGTCTTCAACAGCTGACGTAGTAGTGAAAACCAGATGTTGCACAATTCTATAACTATAGCATTCGAAATATCCATAGATTCAAGCACTTCGTCAAATTATGACGAGTAAATCATATAACGAAAGAGTTTCTCCGTAGACACAACTATTGAGCTGTCTGCGGTATAAAAACTAAAGATCTTATCGAATTGACCATGCTTATTTATAATCTGAGTATTCAAAATTCGTAATCAGCACACCCACTAGGGAAAGGGGAGTGCTTAAATTCCTTTGTTCTTTAATTATTATGCACTTCAGAAGTATAAGTAGATCTTAATTATAATTTTGATAGATGTCTGAAGTGCATTTTTGGTTTATCTGCGCTCAAGATACACGTCACAACTGACGTAACGAAGAAATAAATATATGAGAAAGTTGTGAGGCCTATCTGTAGGCTTTGTCAAAGAAAATAATAAATATCAAATTCTCTCAATGCTCAGACGTGCATTCTCTAATCTCATCCTTTCCTAGATAAGACTTCGGGATTCATCGAAATCTGCATGATCGATTGATACTATGAAAATGATGATAATGGATGTTAAAGATGACGTGTTCTTCAATTTCCAGTTACTTTCTTGCAAAATGCAATAAAGAATTTTCTAGTGGCAATATTATTTGTTCAAAATGGATCACACTTTCATTAAATAAATTTTTAATTTGATGTTATCATTTATACACATGTAATCCTTTAAGAAACGCTATGACGCAAATCATGAAAAAAAAATTGCCTAGTTTAACCTGCAAGACAATTAGATTTATTACCTATTTTTATTCTGCTTTTACACAACGATATCAAACTTACAGATATACAAGACAAATTTTGAATTAAAAATCTTTCATCAACTACAAGACGATGGCTTTACTTACAACACTCATCAACATCTACTACAATATCGTTCGTTATTTCATGTCGTTAATCTTCTTTTTTGGAATTACCGGTTCATTATTGAACATTATCTTGTTTTCTCGCCAAAAACTAAGACAAACATCATGCTGTATTTGTATGTATCGATATTCAGATTCGATTTCATCTCTATCCACTTTATTTTCAGTAGATTTTCTTGCAGCATCATTCAGTAGCCTTCTGTCGTTACTTTTTGGTTTAATTCCGACGTTTTATCTACTCAATAACGTCTATCCTGGTAACTATTCCGTTGTGTTCTGTAAAATGCAAGGATACATCACTCATACAAGCCTTCAAATGACACGAGTGCTTCTCGTTCTGGCTTGTTTCGATCGTTACGCTCTTAGTTCATCCAGTAGTTATTTGAGAAAGTTTGCAACTGTCTCCATTGCACGTCGATGCGTTCCTGTCGTAATGTTATCATGTTATTTAATCGCAATTCATTTAATTATTTATCTTGATGTTGTCAATAGTTCTTGTGGTATTTATCAATTATCAGTATTAATCTATAATAGTGTTTATTCGATAGCAACAATATCGATTACAATGCCTTTGCTCATGTTCATTTTTTCGTTCTTAACGTTTGTGAATTTAAAACAGCGTCAAAAGAAACGACAGCAAATGAATTCAGCAGCGATTCATCGAGATATCATTCGCGATAAGAAGGTGTTTTTTACGTTATTAGTGCAATTATTGTTGTATTTCATATCAACAGGATTGTATGCACCGAATATCATTTATACAACAATTACGCAAAATATGCCGAAATCATCGGATCAACAAGTGATTGGACTCTTTATTAACGCATTTGCGCTGCTTCTTATCTATATCTATCCTGGCTTCTCATTTTTGGCTTTTACAGTTTCATCGAAAACATTCCGAAGAGAATTATTCAATTTAAGGAAACTATTTCCATTTTACTGCGTACGACGCACAGCAGTGTTACCTTACACGACTACGAATCGAAGGATGAACACAAACGACGCAACCAATAATCAAACATTTTGAATCTAATGTGTTGTGTTCTCTTGTAAATGTTTGAAAATAAATCTACATAAGTGTGGTATTGTATGTTCACTGTATACGAAAGGAATATATTAATGCAATTAGTATTTCACTCATTCCTGTCGCATATCATTACTCGGCATAATCGTACCTTACGAGTTTCACATAGTATGCAGAGTGTGAAACAGCCTATTCACTTTTGTAAAAATCTAAACGTAAATAATCTTCAACGAATGACGAATTGCATGCTTATGAACTATGATTTAATTAGGTTAGATAGAGTATGTCAAAGAAATATCCATATGATTCCTACAGTAATAATTATTAATCGCTTTGCATTTACATTAGTTTCTGATATGTAGAAGATTATATACAGCGAGGTTTTGTTGAACAGAAAATTGTGCGTATACATCAAGTTTTGCCATTACTAAAACGAAATCCGTTCTCTTTCGTATTCATACATCATAAACAGATGTGCATATTCTCTCAAACGCCTTCTTTCCGAGAATGATGGAAGTTGATTCAGGAATCTGTCGTGAATAAGCATGTCTTTCTCTCGCACCACCTGCTTCTTTCGCTGAATGGAGTATAAAAGATAACGCAATGATTTCGATCTATAATCAATTGAAAATGTTGAAAACTTTTGCTCTCCTTCTGATAACTTGTGCTGCGTTTGCTACAGCATTAAAACAACATCGTACTGTTGGCATTATTGAAAATGGAATGTTCATCGAACAGACTGTTACTCATTATGACGATCTCCACGTCATCGAAGTACCTCAACATGGTGATCGTGCTCACATCATGGCTTATCTGGATTTTCGNAGTATGTTTCAGATGAAAATTTGAGCACTAAACTTAAAAATCTGGCCTCATGCCCAATTTTTCAAACTGGCGATATGATATCAATGAGTTTAACAAGAATGTTGCCTTTAATTTTACAGCAGCCGGGAATTCTTCTTTCTCACAGACGAACTGTTTTGGAAAATCCAACGAATATTGTACCGGTGCTTGCCGAATGTGTTAAAAAACAAGCACCGGCTCATTTTCGGAATATTCTCTACTCCGATTGTATACAACCAACGATTCCATCTACAACGGTGCCAACGACGTTACATTCGAACGAAACAGTTGATGAAAATGTGACTACACAAATGATAGAAGGATTCGTACTAGATGGCGAAGAGTTTAATACATTAATTAATGAGACGATTTCGTTTAATCAAACCCCTTATTCATATTTACAGGCTCAGCAATATCTATCTAAGATAAACACCTCTCAAGTAAGGACTAACTTTTGCCTATATATCTGTATTCTCCGTTTACACGCATTTGAAGTATTCGGCTCGGATGACGAATACGAACATATTCGGATGGGAAACTCGATTCGATCAAACTTACAAGAGAATATTCTACGTCGATCATCACACTTTACTCGTCACATGGATTTCACCGACAGCCTACCATCTAGGTGAACGAATTCAGTGGTATGTTCAAACAACAGTAGAGCATCGTGTTTCATCGCCCAGCAAATATAGAACAAACTTGCCGACTATGATTGATTTGGAATCGGATACTCCGAGTGCAGAAGCTCTATTTAAATATGATATTACAGAATGGGAAGGTTTGCATCAGATGCAAGCGCTAGATAATTCCATGGATAGTCTTACGCTGAATGGTGCATGGTATATGTGTTCCGACCAACAAAATCGAGCATACTTTATCAATTCAGAAAGCAAGATCCTACAGTTGAATAGTCAGTTGGTGAAGGTAGAATAGACCAAAAATTCATGTCCATTCTGTCTTTTGTTGTTGTTATAGGACGTTCAATCGTTGAGAATCTTGCTAGCAGTTAATACAACTACAGGACAATTGAACCTTGAAATTCAATCTGACCATTTCTTTCAAAGTTCTTACGATCTAATAATGAAGATGGAACCCTTTGAACTACGCAGAAAAATGTTTACAGTAATCTTACCAACTAACGGTATCTCGCTACACTTCAAAACATGTCGAATGAATGTACCTGTATTTCTCTTCGTAGAGGAAATGACTCAAAAGGAGAAGAATGACTTTTGGTTTGTTCAACTTCATGAAAAAATGCTCGAAATGAAATTACTATCAAAGCACGAAGCATATTACGATCTCATCGGCTCAGAAGTTCCAGATGTTTACTTTCGGTAAGTCATTGAACTAATGAAAACAAAACTGAGCATAATGGTGAATATTTATCAAAGATTTCTCGGCCGTCTTATGGCAATGTCAATCTACTACAGCGTAAGATTTCCGTTAAAGTTTCCGATATTCTACTACAGAATACTATTCAACAAAGAGTTGACATTGAATCTGTTAGAACTGAAATATTTCGATATTGACAATTTCAACAAAGCAAAACAGAAGACTGATAAACCAGTTGCAGAAATTCTACAAAGATATTTTGCAAAACCAATCAAGCTCCAAATGATGCAAATACGACAAGGACTCAACGAGGTAAGACTACCTTATAATCAACTTTTGTTACTCTATACTCACAGGTGATACCAATTGAATGGATGGAACATCTGAACACTGAAGATATTGAAAAAATGATTAGTGGTTTCTGTACCGTACATGAAATGGAAAGAGCTCGTCAACAGGAAGAAACTTCATTAGTGCAGATGGCCACTGTTGATACTAAATCCATCGATACAAATATTCAATCCAACGAAGATAATAAGTCTTCAACGGTTGACGTAGTAGTGAAAACCAGATGTTGTACAATTCTATAACTAGCATTCGAAATATCCATAGATTCAAGCACTTCGTCAAATTATGACGAGCAAATCATATAACGAAAGAATTTCTTCGTAGACACAACTATTGAGCTGTCTACGGTATAAAAACTAAAGATCTTATTGAATTGACCATGCTTATTTATAATCAGAGTATTCAAAATTCGTAACCAGCACACCTACTAGGGAGGGAGAGAGCTTAAACACCTTTGTTCTTTAATGATTATTCACTTCAGAAGTATGAGCAGATCTTAATTATAATTTTGATAGATGTCTGAAGTGCATCTTTGGCTTATCTGCGCTCAAAAGGCGCACGTCACAACTAGCGTAACGAAGGAATGAATATATGAGAAAATTGTGAGGCCTATCTGTAGGCTTTGCCAAAGAAAATAATAAATATCAGGTTCTCTCAATGCTCAGACACGCCTTCTCTGATGTCATCCTTTCTTAGATAAAACTTCGGGATTCATTGAAATCTGCATGATCGATTCATACTATGAAAATGATGATAATGGATGTTAAAGAAGACGTGTTCTTCAATTCCCGGTTGCTTTCTTACAAAATGCGATAAAGAACTTTCTAGAATACAATTTGCCAGTGACAATATTATTTTTTTCAAAATGAATCATACTTTCATTAAATAAATTTTTAATTTGACGTTATCATTTATACACATTTAATCCTTTAAGAAGCGCTATGACGCAAATCATGAAAACAAAATGTCTAGTTTAACCTGAAGGAAAATTAAATTTATTAACTATTTTTATTCTGCTGTTACACAACGACATCAAACTTGCAGGAATATAAGACAAATTTTGAATTAAAAATCTTTCAATAACTACAAGACCATGCCTCTACTTACAACACTCATCAACATCTACTACAATATCGTTCGTTACTTCATGTCGTTAATCTTCTTTTTTGGAATTACCGGTTCATTATTGAACATTATCCTGTTTTCTCGCCAAAAACTAAGACAAACATCATGCTGTATCTGTATGTACCGATATTTAGATTCGATTTCATCTCTATCTACTTTATTTCCAATAGATTTTCTTGCAGCATCATTCAGTAGCCTTCTGTCGTTACTTTTCGGTTTAATTCCGACGTTTTATCTACTCAATAACGTCTATCCTGGTAACTATTCCGTTGTGTTCTGTAAAATGCAAGGATACATCACTCATACAAGTCTTCAGATGACACGAATGTTTCTCGTTCTGGCTTGTTTCGATCGTTACGCTCTTAGTTCATCCAGTAGTTATTTGAGAAAGTTTGCAACCGTTTCCGTTGCACGTCGATGCGTTCCTATCGTGATGTTATCATGCTATTTAATCGCAATTCATTTAATTATTTATCTTGATATTGTCAATAGTTCTTGTGGCATTTACCAATTATCAGTATTAATCTATAATAGTGTTTATTCGATAGCAACAATATCGATTACAATGCCTTTGCTCATGTTCATTTTTTCGTTCTTAACGTTTGTCAATTTAAAACAGCGTCAAAAGAAACGACAGCAAATGAATTCAGCAGTGATTCCTCGTGATATCATCCACGATAAGAAGGTGTTTTTTACGTTATTAGTGCAATTATTGTTGTATTTCATATCAACAGGATTGTATGCACCGAATATCATTTATACAACAATTACGCAAAATATGCCGAAATCGTCGGATCAACAGGCGATTGGACTTTTTATTAACGCATTTGCGCTGCTTCTTATCTATATCTATCCTGGCTTCTCGTTTTTGGCTTTTACAGTTTCATCGAAAACATTCCGAAGAGAATTATTCAGTTTAAGGAAACTATTTCCATCTTACTGTGTACGACGTACAGCAGTATTACCTTACAGGACTACGAATCGGAGGATGAACACAAACGACGCAGTCAATAATAAAACATTTTGAATCTGATGTGCTGTGTTCTCTTGTGAATGTTTGAAAATAAATCTACATAAGTGTGATATTGTATGTTCACCATATACGGAAGGAATACATTAATGCAATTAGTATGTCACTCATTCCTGTCGCATATCATTATTCAGTATAATCGTACCTTACGAGTTTCACATAGTATGCAGAGTATGAAACAGCCAATACACTTTTGTAAAAATTTAAACGTAAATAATCTTCAATGAATGATGAATCTCATGCTTGAACTATGATTTAATTAAGTCAGATAGGCTATGTCAAAGAAATATCCATATGATTACTACAGTACTAATAACTACTCGCTTTGCATTTACATTAGTTTCTGATATGTAGAAGATTATACACAGCGAGGTTTTGTTGAACAGAAAATTGTTCTTATACATCAATTTTTGCCATTACTAAAACGAAATCCGTTCTCTTTCGTATTCATACATCATAAACAGATGTGCATATTCTCTCAAGCACTTTCTTTCCGAGAATGATGATAGTTGATTCAGAAATCTGTCGTGAATAAGCATGTCTTTCTCTCGCACCACCTGCTTCTTTTGCTGAATGGAGTATAAAAGACAACGCGATGATTTCGATCTATAATCAATTGAAAATGTTGAAAACTTTTGCTCTCCTTCTGATAACTTGTGCTGCGTTTGCTACAGCATTAAAACAACATCGTACTGTTGGCATTATTGAAAATGGAATGTTCATCGAACAGACTGTTACTCATTATGACGATCTCCACGTCATTGAAGTACCTCAACATGGTGATCGTGCTCAAATCATGGCTTATCTGGATTTTCGTTCGGGTCTTCAGCTGATCAAAGATGTGAGAAGTCAAAGATGTCAGCTGTCCAACATGGAAGCAGCAACACGAATTGCTCATTCGAAGATGGTTTCCATGAAATCAGCCGACAATGGCCTTTCGATGCCCGATCTTCCAGTCGATGCGAGTGGTGTGGAAGAAATTCGTGTTTTCAAACTCGAACGACAAGATGTGATTCAAAATATATCACATCTTCGCTTGGAATTTCAACAAGCATGTGCTGGCTTAGCAATTCATTGGGCTGATTCGGTGAATGAGAATGATGTCGATGGAATGGTACGAAATGGTGAATTAATGTATGATAAACAAGAAAAGATCATGATTCAACCAACAAATCCAGATAGTCGACTCAATCAACGAAATTCTTGTAATCCGAATCCTCAATTAATGCCTCCGACCCAGTTTACTTGTCACGGCAACTGTGTGAATCAAAAATGCATAGCAATGTCAAATTCAGGTTATTACTTTATTCTTTGCCCATTGAATGGAAGTATCGGACAAAGTTGCGCGACGCATGTTGCTCATACAAACGGTAAGTGTAAGTTATGCTGCAACGATCCAAAGTCATCTTGTTTACCACCCTCGAACAGTGGTTTTTGGCAACGTTGTGATTGTGTAGTAATATAGTTCTGTTGAATGACCTACTTTTTTCTCGTACTTGTACAGAGTAAAAATTCTTTATTGAAGAATAAAATCAATTATTCATTTTTTTTTCGTAATGAACGAATATATCCAAAGAAGACACTTAATGGTGTCGATTTTTACTTTCTTGTCCTCGACATCCTCTTCTTCCCATCATCTGTTGGAGCGATGAAATATCACATTCGATTCCTTGATGTTGATGAACATCAGAGAATCAAGTTCATTTCAACATGACAATCTCGATTGAAGTCACTAGGTGAAATTGAAACAGTTTATGTACAAATGGACAATCCATGTTTTAGTATTGACTCTCTTTCGATGAATCATTGATGAAAATATGTTCGTTTTAGTTTTCTTTTCGTTTGATCTTAGTAGATTAGCAATAATTACTAAGATTAATCGCCTTTTAATCGTTAATGTAGTTATGTGAAGTACATAAAATATTTATGCGATGCAGTTATTATTTATTATAATAAATTCGTTCACACTTACACCGATAAAAAATAAAACTGATGAACATTTCCTGTTTCGCACTTTCTATAGACTAGTTCAGTTGCATTTATGTTTGCCTTCAAGTGCTTGTTGAAGCTAGTGAAAAATAATCATTATCTGTAAGTACTAATAGAAAAAGGAACTTACTTCATCAGATACAAGAGCACGGCGTATAGCAATGTTTATTGCACGATTATGTTGAGGACTGACTGTGCAAACGAATTCAACAACCAAACTGTCACGGTTCTGCGTGCTTAAACTTGTCACTTGAATTGATTCCAAGCCTTTACCATGATGTTTACGGACCTCTTTCATCAAAGCTTGTTTGAAATTTTGAACAAACTCTCCTTTCAAGTCGTGAGAGACTTTTTCAAGTGTCACACCATGAAGAACAAACGAAGAAAATATCTCTCGTAACGCACATTGAGAACATTCAGCATCCAAACGGCCGCCTTTACCAAACGCACCGCCCGATGAGCTTGTAATAATCTAGATAAAGCAAAATAAAATCATTATCGTATTATAAAATACCACCACTTATCATAACAATAACTCTTTTCCAAAGCAAAACGAATAACATGTTTCATACTTACTCGACCAATATGATTACCAGAGTGATCTGGTTTCCCTTGAGGATGATGAGGTGATGGAGAGCGACGCGAACCAGGGGCTTTACCATCCTTTGAACTATGTGGTTTGTGTACTGTATCATCATCGTCACTGGATTCCGATGAAGATGATTCTTCAATACATTGCTTGTGTGGGCCTACAAAAGAATGACTCTCGTGAAATTCTGCCGATACTTTTCCGGAAGAGCATTAACCACAATTTTCAAAACAACTTGGAAACAAAACAAAAAATAATTCGCATTTCCCTAACAAACTCATACACTTATACCGGCTACGTCACCTCCCCGCCTCTCTAAACGCACTGCCCGCGATTTCCTTCCCAATCACCATCTTCCCCATATTCCCACCATCTCAGTTCATATTACCTGAAGCATGGCTTGCCGGCTTGTGGGTAGTAGCCTTTTCGGGTTTGCCTGATACAGCGTGTTCAGGTTTACCAGCACCAGTATGTTCTGGTTTACCAGTCGATTCCTGCTTAGGTTTGCCAGTGGCACCATGTTCAGCCTTGCGAGTAGACTTGTGCTCCGATTTACCTGTAACACCATGTTCTGGTTTAGCAGTGGATTCGTGTTTAGGTTTCCCAGTTGCACCATGCTCAGCCTTGTGAGTGGGTTCGTGTTTAGGTTTGCCAGTGGCACCATGCTCAGCCTTGTGAGTGGGTTCGTGTTTAGGTTTGCCAGTGGCACCATGTTCGGCTTTGTGAGTGGGTTCGTGTTCTGGTTTACCTGTGGCACCATGCTCAGCCTTGTGAGTGGGTTCGTGTTTAGGTTTGCCAGTTGCACCATGTTCAGCTTTGTGAGTGGATTCGTGTTCCGGTTTACCCGTGGCACCATGTTCAGCCTTGTGAGTGGGTTCGTGTTTAGGTTTGCCAGTGGCACCATGTTCGGCTTTGTGAGTGGATTCGTGTTCTGGTTTACCCGTGGCACCATGCTCAGCCTTGTGAGTGGGTTCGTGTTCTGGTTTGCCAGTGGCACCATGCTCAGCCTTGTGAGTGGGCTCGTGTTCTGGTTTACCAGTGGCACCATGTTCTGGTTTGCCAGTGGCACCATGCTCAGCCTTGTGAGTGGATTCGTGTTCTGGTTTGCCAGTGGCACCATGCTCAGCCTTGTGAGTGGGCTCGTGTTCTGGTTTACCAGTGGCACCATGCTCAGCCTTGTGAGTCGATTCGTGTTCTGGTTTGCCAGTGGCACCATGTTCGGCTTTCTGAGTGGACTCGTGTTCTGGCTTACCAGTGACACCATGCTCAGTCTTGTGAGTGGATTCGGGTTCAGGCTTACCAGTGACACCATGCTCAGTCTTGTGAGTGGATTCGGGTTCAGGCTTACCAGTGGCACCATGTTCAGCCTTGTGAGTCGATTCATGTTCTGGTTCACCAGTGACACCCTGCTCAGTTTTGCGAGTAGATTCATGTTCAGGTCGGGCGGTGGCAGCGTGCTGTGATTTGCCAGTTGAATGTGATTGTGTCTGACGTGTGATATCTTGTGATGGTTTGTTGGTCACAGCCGGTTCCGGTTGGAACGTGTTCAAATATTAGGTGATGGGGCATATTGAGTCGCTAACTCGTTCGATTGGCGATGTTGATCACATGTTGCAAGATGTACTAGGGAGATTCGCGTGTTGTGGCGGAAATTGTTATGGTTTGTGGGATGTGAATGTTGTAAAATAGTTTCATGGTGCTGTTGATTCGTTCCAGCGGCAGTGTAGTAGAATCAAGTAGGAGGGTGATTGAATGGGAAAAGTAAAAACAATCGCTGGATGGAATGCAGGTATTAATGGTCACAACATTTTCGGTCTGTGAGTTTTGTGCGTGCTGCTGCTTGGCGAGAGCATATTTTTGCTGATAGCACAGGTGATGCGGAGTATTGTTAAGTGTTAACATGTGTGTGCATTCTAGGCGTAAGTTATTATTTGTATATTTATATAGGGTTGTGCTGTTTGGACGCAAGTTTCAGCAAAGTTTTTCTTATACGTTTTGATAAATTTGATCGATGGAACGTAGGTAGAAAGTTTTTTTTGCGCAAGGACACGTTTTTTTTCTCATTCTACCTGAATGTACAAATAAATGTCGTTTCAAAGACGAGCTGATGTGGAAACTCATCATTGAAAACTTCCAACATAAATCTTAGATTTAAATCGTCGCAAGAAGTGAGCACAGAACGTAAAATAAAATTATTATGTTTCTCTATTAAAACCCGAATACACGACAGAATTGAATTGAATTAATTCCCTTTTGAGTGAACACTTGTCCACGCAAAGCCACGAGTGGCGCATGGCGATAAAGAAATACCGCTTTAACGTAGTGAAATGAATAATTAGATATATTATATCAACAAGGGATGGCAGTGACGCACATTGAGGAAAGTATTGTGGGCACACTTGTGCAATTTGAAATAGGAATATGTTTTGTTAGTTTCCACAGCTAGTCCATACGATATTTTTGCAGTAATCAAAAGGTACCACCATAAGTATTAGCTATACGTAATTGTGCTAAATCTACTCATACGAAAATAATAGTTCCCAAAACGAGTATTCATACTTTATATATTCCAACTAAGACATGAACCGTGTGAGTAGTCTAAAGGATTCTGCAATTGTTTTCTGCTAACGCTTGTCAAGTGGTTGTAGAATGTATTGCTGTTGTATTAGATGAGCACCACCAATCCTTTCTCTATCTGTATAGAGACATCTGTTATGATTGGTGCGTTACTCCAGATCATGTGAAAAAGTTCATTTAACTCTGTATCAATTTTTCAGCTCTTTGATTGGTTTCTTCGCTTTTATTTTCTCTCATTTATTTCGCATTATGATCTTTGGGCACTAATCAAGTGCAAGACACCATCATTTAGTCACTAACGAACGAAAGACGCGTGTCCGTAATATCATTCATTTATTAAATAAAGTTCTGTAAAATACATTTTTCTTACATATCATGATTTTTCAGTATTACTCTTCGTCGTTTCACTGACAAACAGAGATGATTGGTAGAACATAATTATCTACGTGTTACATCAATGATCTACTATACCTACGCGATGAATATCTTTGCATTAAGATGTTGTATCTTTTTTGTTATTAGCAAAAAACAGCAGATTTCTTTTATTGTTTCTCCCGAACTTATATAGGGATTTTTGTTAGACTTAATTTTCTTTCGACTATCTGTCCAAGCAGGATGCTTAATTAAGTTTTAACTTTCATCGTTTGATTGTCCCTAAAGAATTTTGATTCACCATCTAGCTCGTCAATCAAATTAGTCCAATCAGTCATCAACCTTAATATACATTAACTGTTTCTTTTGAAACGAACATAATAGACGAGAATCTGCGTATCGACACTTTTTCTCCATTTTGATCAATCGAATTAGGTCGCCATGTCACAGTTTGCCTTTCAATCAAGATATGCATTTTTTTCGGGTGCGGTACAATCTAACCGATTCGGATAATCATTATTAATGAACCTCATTTACAGCTTTTTCAAGCTTTTCTTCAAAAGTAGAAATATCAAGTTTATGAAAACAAATTTGAAAGTTACAATAAATACCACTGAAAAATATCATAATCATCATAGTGTCACATAACGTAAAATAATTCACTTCCCACTCCTTCAAAACAATTCCAACTTATCATCCTTCCTCACAACACGCGTGGAACAACATTATGCTATTCTATGTAACTCTGGAAACGTAATATTTGAAAACTACTATTCTCATTGTTGCCAACCTCACCTGCGTGGGTCGTACCGTGCTCTGTTTCAGTTGTTCTGTGAGCTTTCTCCGTGGCATGCGCATCTGTTTTTCCTGCCTTTTCAGTTACATGAGCTGCACCAGTTGTATGAGCGGCTTCTGTAGCATGTGCCTTTTCAGTTGCT